GATGGGATTGGGACTGCATTCTGGAAGGATAAATGGCTATCTATTGGGCCTCTTATAGATCATGCTAACCTGGAAATTCCTCCAGAGGTGATGGAGTGTGATGTTGCTCATATGGTGGACTCTAATGGGGATTGGAAATGGAAGGATTTCAAAGATTTGATCTCGCAGGAGGCTTAGAATCTTATCAAAGGAATTTGCCCTCCTAACCCGAATGAAGGTGAGGATAGAGTGATATGGGACTGCTCTCAGGATGGGAGATTTTCTTTGAAATCTGCCTTTGAACTGCTGAATGATGAGGACCACAGCCAGCATCAAAGCCATTGGAGCACAGTTTGGGGGTGGAATGGCCCTCCAAGGGTCAAAACCTTTCTCTGGATGCTTCTTGGAGAAAGCCTTCTTACAAACCAAAGAAGAGTACAAAGGCATTTGGCTACTGTTAGCACCTGTCCCAGATGCTTATCTACCACTGAGAGCTACCTGCATGCTGTAAGGGATTGCAGTTGGTCTAAAAAGGTCTGGCTTAGTTTTATTGCACCTGATAAATGGCCTGATTTTTGTTCAATGCCTTTAAAGGGCTGGGTGACTACTAACTTGGGAGGTAAATCTTGCATGTTAGGTGGATTAAATGGAAATATTCTTTTTGGTCTTATTTGCTGGTTTCTTTGGAAAGAGAGGAACAAGTTTCTGTTTGAATGTATCATTCCTAAGGAAGGAGAGACAGGAAGGTTGGCTTGTTCTTATCTCTCGAATTTTGTAGATGCTTGTGTTCTCTATAGTAAGGCTGGTTTGCAGAGTAGTGGTAGGAAGGAAATCTTAGTCCAGTGGTGTCCACCTCCTTCGGGTTGGATTAAAGTGAATACGGATGGCTCCTCTAAGAGTGTATCTTCACTAGGTGGGTGTGGTGGGGTACTAAGAGATAATGCTGGGGATTGGATTCTTGGTTTTGCAAAAAATCTTGGTGACAGCTCCTCGGTCCAAGCTGAGATTTGGGGTCTGTATCTCGGACTACAAGTTGCCTGGGACCTTGGCCAGGAATATCATTCTTGAAGGAGACTCTCAAATAGCCATTAACATGATCAAGGAAGGAGTGGCGGATGATCATCCCTTAGTGGGGCTGGTAAGGAAGGTTACCAATCTGAAGAATCTGGAGTGGCAGGTAGAAATTGTTCATACATTTTGCGAATGCAACCAAGTAGCCGACCGGCTTGCTAATCATGTCACTGAGCGAGGAGGGGACATGGTATTGATGAATCATCCTCCTGAGGATTGTTTTGGGTTGCTGAGTAGTGATGCTAGAGGTGTAGCCTGGCCTCGCTTAGTTAGAGGCTTGTAGTTTTGTTTTGTTTTTAAGTTCCTTTGTATTCAAAAAAAAAAGCAAACAAAACATTCTCAAGACGTAACCTATATATCATTATCAATATTAGTAATGATGATGATTTCTATTTTGTCGAAAAGTGAATTAAAATTTAATTCAAATTGTAAGCTACAACCATGACTAAAATATAAATAGAAAAACTCATTTAAAGTGATTTGTCTCTGAAATAAGTAATTAATTAAACCAATAATCAATACACTATTTTTTATTTACTTTTAAAATAAATTCACTTTAGCTAAATACAAAATTCCAATACGTGTCTAAAGTATAAATGACTAATTCAATCCAAAAATTTAAACTATTCAGTAAAAGTCTTTTTAATTATTTATATTATTCTTTAACATAAAGATTGAAGGCGAAACAACCAGAATTAAACATGTTAATTTGTAAAATAGAAGATTGTGCACTATCACTCTATCAGTCTATCACCACCCAATAAAATTTGAGAAATTCGTCTTCCTCTTCCTCGAAGGAAAATCACCACCATCCAAATTTTGGGGTGTTACTAATTATATAGGTCTCACTATCAATTTAATTATGCAAGATCCTCCTCGAGAAAGAATTTGAGGATTGATCAAGAAATTTCATAAAATTTTATATGTTTTATCGGTATTTAAAATGGGCAAAAGTTCAAAAAATCTCTTATAATTATTTTATAACCATTTAGTCCCTTATATTTTTTTCAAATCATTTATCTCCCCCGTGATTTTTTTTATCCAAATCCATTGTTTTTTTTTAAACAATCCAAGTCCATTGTTTTTTTTTTGGTATGCAATCCAAGTCCATTGTTAAAGTCATTAAATATTGAATTAATATGTTAATTTTACCCTTATGAACAATAAAAAAATGCAGAGAATGTAAGTGATTAAAAAAAGCACAAGGAGGTAAGTAATAAAAAATTAAACCATAGTGAGTTTTTTGATTTTTTTTGCAACGATTAAAAAAAGAAAAAAACTTGATATTAAAAAAATGTGGAACTAAAAAAAATTAATATAGTAGATCATTGCAAATAAAAGGTGTTCTGTTAAACTTGGGTCTCATATATTTTTATATTTTTCATTTATATGTGTATTTTATATTTGTTGCTGTTAAATTTGAATATATTATTTTTATACATATTTATAGTTACTCAAGGAAAAACTATTATTGTCTTCGTAGTTTAATTATTTTATTTTAATTATATCTATTTTTTAATAAAGAAAAAACTAATATTTAAAAATATATTAAGAATAAAATAATAAAAATAAAGCACCAATAAAAAAATATATTAACATTTCAAAAAAAAAAAATAAGAACTTTACATTATCTATTCTTAACTTAATCACATTATAAAAGTGTCAAAAAAACATAACAATGTTCATTTCAATTCTCATTTTTTTCACAACGAGGCCTTAAATTTTTTTTCTTGGGCAGCAAATTCTATGTTAAATAGAACACCCTTTATTTTCAATGCCAATTATTCCCATTAGCTAGTTGAGTTTGATATTGTTTGTTACATCAAGTTTTTCATTTTTTTCATTTTTTCAATTGTTGTAAGGGAAAGTTCAAAAACCCACTCATGGTTTAATATTTTATCACTTGCCCCTTATGCTTTTTTTTTTTTTAATTGTTCATAGGGGAAAAATAAATAAATTAGTCCAATATCTAATTATGTTTAAGATGGACTTGGATGTAAAAAACTATAAGGGAGGTAAGCGATTGAAAAAAATATATATATAGGAAAATAAATGATTATAAAGCAAATCACATGAATTCTTTTTTGAACTTTTCCCTTTAGTAACATACGAGTGTAAGCTAGCTAAATTTTATATATATTATTAAATCTTGATTTCACTTATATCTAATGATTTACATGACCAATAAATTAGAACTGTTAGATATAAATGTGACTAGTAACTATTTGACTAATAAAAAATAAAAAATGTACACATGTATAAGTTCATAACCCCAATTATGAAATTATGTTAAGCACCAACGTCCCCATATACGTGTTTGATAAAAACACAACTCATTTTTTTTTTTGTAATAAGGAGGGGCAAAAGCCCCGAACAAATAAAAAATTACACGATGAGAGAATTTAAAAGAACTACAGAAGCATCCTGAAGAAGGAGCTCTAACAAAGAAGAAGGTGGAGAATGATAAACAATAAGATTACTATCATCCTCAAAATACCTAGAAGCAAACCAGTGAGCACATCTGTTATTCTCTCTGAAGGTGTGGACCAATCGAACATCCCAATCTTCAGCAAGCCACTTGTGAATACGGAGAACAACCTGTGAGTTTCTGAGATTATAGCTACCTCCTTGAATAGTGCTAAGAGCAATTTATGAGTCACATTCCAAATCCAATCTCCTAGATTCAGTACCCCAGGCCAACTCTAAACCTTTGAGAATACCCCAAAGTTCAACATCTAGAGGGTTACAGAAACCTAACCTGAAGGAGAATCCACCCAGAAAAGCACCATTATGATCTCTAATAATACCTCCACAGCTAGCATGCTTCCTAGAAAGGGATGAAGCACCATCTGTATTAATCTTCAACCAACCAGGTTCAGGACGACACCATTTAGTAGGCTGATGAACATTAGGGGAGCTGTAAAAAATGCTTCTAGTCTTACCTCTAGCATCAATTAAATGCGCAATAAAATTAGAGATTACAAACTTATCATTGCTTGGTCTCCGAAAACTATCATCATGGATTTGATGATTACGCCAATTCCAAAGATGCCAGCAAGTAGTATAAAAAACATCTCTCCAACCAACATGGTTATGATGATTCCAACCCTTACTCACATCTCTGATGAGTCAAGGCTGCAAGTCTAACGTGAAGAAATATATGTGGTTAGTATATGTGAAAAACAATACAACTAGATGATAGTTGTCTCCAATTCATTAGAATTGGTCTAATGGTAAGAGATTGAGTTAATTTGTATGAGGTCAAAAAATCAAATGGCCAATAATATGTGTCTTATTTTCTCTCTTTATTCCGAATTTTAATGTGTCCCGTTTTCATCGCCTGTCAAGTTCACAAAGTTAGTTAACATAGGATTCCCATGGTTATGAAAAAAATCTTATTTAGAGTATAGTACATTTTTTTCTTTTTTCTTTTTGGGTTTTATAATTCTCAAGTTACATAAGAATTGAAATCTTATGTTGTAGAGATAAAAAATATTGAGACTCGTATGTTAAAAAAAATTATGTGTAAGATCCACGTCAGCACATAAATTAAAAGGTGTGTAGAAAGATTTCAATTCTCATGTAAAATGAGAATTATAAATTTCTTTTTTTCGGAAAAAGTACATCTATTCAATAACGCAATGCATGTCCATAAAATGAAGGCACAATTTTTCAGTTGGACCTTCTTGGGCCGACCCATTGCCCACCAAACAAGACCCCTACGTGATGGGACAGGGAAACCACATTTACCAAATCCTCACTTTTGTTTGGGCCCTGTCCCCTCGCATGTTCTTACGAGAATGTTAATGACTTAATGCTTATATGTTTGAACAAATAATTATTAGTCTAATTTAAACCGCATTGTTTTTCATAATAATTTATTTATTTTATGAAAAGAAGTTTTTAGTTCTATCATAAGTATTGAAAAATAATAATAATAATATACGTGACTGTTCATACATTGTGCTTTGGTCTATAGTCTTATTCTCACATCAATATCAATTGAAGCCTTTTATAATCAAGTACTCTTTACAATTTCTTCAAGACATAATAATAATAAAGAAAGTTAACTAACACTTTCCAAATACAACACCCTTAAATTAGGTCTATAAAAACCAAAATAACTGAATAGGCTTTAGTCAGGAAAGAGTGAATAGGCGACTTTTTTTAACTTTTTTTTTTTCTTCCTCGAAATCAATTGTTCTTACAGGAGCACTTCTAGTTTAGGCAGCTGCATATTCTTCATCTTCAAAACTCAGATTTAATGTCTGTAATCTAAAGCCTGAACCTTGTATGGTTTCTACCAGACTAGAAGCCACACCTGTAGCTTGGACTGTTGTCTGTTTTTTCAACTGAACAAGAGCACAAAAAGTCAGTAATGATATTGAAGTTAATTTAAACTCATTTTATAGTACTTTATCAAAGACAAATCCACATCCTAAATTGTCTTCTAGGGGCTCATGAGAACTCGATTCCATATATAATAAGATATAGTAACCCATTTTGGCAATTGTATTAAAGAACTTAATGTATACCTCTAAAGTTGCGAGTCCCTCAACAAGCTGAACCTTCAAATCGGTAACACCCTCTGTCTCCTATAAATATATATGTAATGGAACATTGATAAGCAAGTATTAAGGGCAATGACCCAAATTTCCAAAAGACAATGACAGCATGCCAAAATAACGAAGAAAGAAGACAATCAAAGAAGTGACCAACACATTATTTCATAGAAACAGAATTGAAAGCTTTATATTTATAAACACTTAATGCAGGGCATATAAATAAGAGACACGCCCATAACTAGATTAATCAATCGATGTTGCTGCAGACAAAGAAACACTCCCCCTCATATCACCGTGATTGAGGAAGCAGTATTTGGTACTGACCAGTCTGCATGACATGTTTACTTCCCGGAAGGCCAAAGTACTAACATATTACAGAAATGACAATGTTATTGTATACTTTTAGCCAATCATGTACAAGAGAGCCAACTACTTTTAGCTAGGCTTATAGAGGAGGGGAGAGACATGCTCCAACATAAATAGGAGCTCCATTGTCTCACACCCCGCCAATATATTGGAATGGGACTTACCCTCCTTCATCCCCATCCTTTGACCTTCTTTTAATTACATTTGAATCCAAGATACACAAGATTGGGTCTGAAACTCTGAATAAACATCACAAACATTTGATATCTTACTCTTTCTCTTTCCCTCCTGCATATCGTGATCTAATTAAAGGAAACCAGCCAACAAAAACCGCTCATATCTTTTTGAGAAGAAATTAATAGTAAGTTATTTTAAAAACCAGAACCTAATCAGCAGAAGTATTATATTATGGCTGCTATGTTCATCAAGGAACAGAGTAACAACATGGGTGGAAATATGAAAACACACTATGCCAAAACAAAAAGACGTATTTGCATAAAAATTATATTCACATTGAAGTGATTAGAACAAAAATAATTAGATTAAGAAAGTTCATAGACCTACCTCTAAGGCTTTGGTCAATGCTGGAATTGCTGTTTCATTCAATGCTCCCTCTGCCTTCAAATATGTGAAAGTAGACAGTTAATCTCAAGAAAGCAAAACAATCACAAACAGTAAAGTGTCTAGCTGAAGATCCAACAACGACTCAAAGCAAAATAGTAAAATTATCAGACAGACTCGGAGCCCACTTATTAAGGGATCCATTAGCTTAGGGCTTAAACATACATAACACTGATCAGTGATCATTGTTGGTAAGAAGGCACGACGGTTAATTTCTTTGGCTAAGTTCCCTATACATTGATGACAGGCACACATCTATTCCACAGCTCTTGGACAATGATTCATAGTAGTCACCATTTCAACAAGTCTATTTCATCGCTGTTCTAGTTTCATATAATGCCTAAATAATTTAGTACCCCAATTGCATAAAAAGGTATTGACTGAGTTAACACAGTTAAATTAAAAAAAAAAAAAAATCACTCCCCATTAAACCCGACTAGCTAGTGTGGGTGGAGAAAATCCTTGTACGCAGCCTTATCCTTGCATAATTGCAAATAAGTTGTTTCTTGAATTCGAACCCATGACTTTTTAGTCACGAAGGAACAGTTTTACCACTGCTTCCGGTTCCTCACTTTCGTTAACACAGTTAAATAAAGAACAAAAATTGTCAACTGGGTAAGTCTGCAAAATTCATCACAAGTTGGATTTAAAGGCATAAAAAGGTTCCAAACTCTAAAATTTTCACATGGGCTTTATAACAAGCGCATACTACTCATTCATGTTAAACTCACAAGCATACCTGAAAGAACATTGTAAGAGTATCAGATGGGGAAATGGGAACAACAACAGGTTGCTGTTCCGAGGTTAATGGTTGTTGCTGTTGTTCAGACTCAGTGCTAACTTCTTCTTGCTGTGAAGCCAATTGGGTTTCTTCTTCCACAGCTTTGGCCACACACACTCCACGGTTCTTAGTTGTTTGTGCCTTCAAAATTGAACAGAGAGGACGAAAGGGAAAGTTGCAAAACGCAAGGGAAGGAGAAGATGTAGTAGGAATAGTAGTAGAACAGAGACGAATGGAGTGAAGAGATGAAGATGAATATAGTGTGGCCATTTTCAAACACAATGCCAAACAAACACCTTACCTATCCACACCAAAACATCCTTTTATGTTCGCGCAAATTGGTAACCTTTGACGTTGTCTCTTTCTTAGCATCCACAAAACCGTCCCGTGTTTATCTCTCAGGCCCAGTACTCTCCCAAGGCCCAATAGGGAAGATGTTTTGTCTCGTAGACACCGGATCATCGACCAAAGTGTCACTATTTGAAAACAAAATTCATCAAAATGTCACAGAAATAGTACTTTTTATTAGACTGTCACGCGACGTAATTCGCTACGATGGATAGCGAATTATATTCGTCAATAATTTTGTGATACGTGGCACATTTTCACATAAAAAAGCTAACTGAACGTAATTCGCTACCAGTCGTAGCGAATCACGTCACGTGGTAGTCTGGTAAAAAATACTATTCGCGTGGTATTTGAATAAAAAATTTATCAAACTGTGACACTTTAGTCACTGTTCCCCTAGACACTCTCATGAGCAGTTGGTTTGTTTGATCGGTTGATCCGTAGATCCCTGATCGGTCAGATTTAGTTATTGAACCAGTTATATATTTCACACGATATAAAACACGTGAACCCATTTTTGAACCAAGTTCAATCACTATTAAATCGGCACAGGTTTAAAAAAAAATTAATTTTGTGAAATTTTTGACAAAAGACTTGAGAAATACCATTAATGAAATTCGAACCTAAACTCTAAACTATGCAAATTATAACTTATAACACTTACTAGTAATCAAACTCTAATTATTAGTTAAAATATTTCCAATTTTATATTATTTATTATATATATTTAATTTATGTAATTGAACCAATAATACACTGATTAAACTGGTGATATACTAACCTAATATTCCGATTCAATCACCGTTGAAATTTATAACATTGCATCTCTTATTTGTTTTCTTATATAAATTTGTAAATGTAGCTGATAAGAATTGACGCCCACTCTAGGTGAGGCTTGAATTTAAACTATATGTAATTTTATTTTAAATCGTCACTGAAATTGGTGACTTTCCCTTATCCTGCCACGTATAAAAATTCCTCCACTAATTTAAATTTTTTATGTAAATTTTTTTTTTATAAATATAAAATAGCAAAAAGTGTATAGAATCACCCTAACCTTAATGCCTACACATAAGCGCTTTCAACTTGAACTTCATTCTAATTAATTCATTATTTCTAATTATTATTACATTAGATCTTTCAGTTAAGTTAACTTATTAACGATAAATAAATTCAAACTATTCATTTTTCTTAAATATAAACAATTTCTTTATATTTTTTATTTAAAATTTTTATTATATTAATTTAAATTTTTAAGTTAAAAATGGATAAAAAAAGCACAACTTGCATTCTCTTCCGCTATTCCAACAAAAATAAGAAATATTTCAAGTATTGTGTTTTCTTAACTTTTTTTTTGACTTTTTAATTTGAAAAAGTTTAAAAAATATATAATATGACTTTTTTAGTTAAAATTATGAATTACCGTCAAACAACACTACTACAAAGAAAAATAGCCAATAATAATTTTTTTTTTCCTTTTTGATTGTATAATCTATAAAATATCCTAAATTCTATTAATTAGGAAGAATGCATTTTAGCAAAGGAATTTTCTTTTTGGAGTCGATCATGACATGAAGCAATGTTAGCATATACTTATGATAAGGTGTTACATTAGTTTCTGAGACAATGTTATCCAAATATCACAGCAGAAGCTTTTGAGTCCCAAAGCAAATAGTGAGCATCTAAAGGTTTATAGCATATTCATCCTTACAAGATTGCCAACAGTATATATGCTACATTTGTCATGGCACTATGATAGTAACCTTGGGAGAGCCTACTCTAAAAACTAGTTTATAAGGTAAGAGAGCCCAAAGTTTATATAAATCCTATGCCAGAATCTAATATTTCCAATATGAGACTTCAAGTAACATACCTCTTACTTAACACACTATTCAGGCATGGCATACCTTAGACACTGCCTATACAAGAAATGTCACACACACACACATATATAAATTGTGAAATTTAACTGGCTTCTTTATTGGGAAATAATTGTCTCATTTTACATGAGATAACTATCTCATGTTTCTCTCACATAAAAAGTTATGACATCATTTTTTCTTTTTTCTTTTTTTAATGGATGGTGGGCTCTACCATATTATGTATCTATAGTAGGAGATACTTATCTCCTACAACATGAGAAAAATAGAACCCTTCTTTACTACAGCAGAAATATACCATAATTTCCAAAAGATGAAAGCAAAGGCACAAGCCACACTTCTAGTCGAGCATTTAAAGCAGCTGACAATCTTCTTCAACTTGACCAGCTGCAAGAGTTTAGGATCCAATAAAATTTATTTTACCCTTCCAAATACAGATATGAAAATAAAATCTATAGCAAGCTAAAGATGCATTTAGTTTGTTTTTTGTTTTCATTTTCAATGGATATGTTTTCACTTATAATTATAAAAATGCCACCTTGTTTTTACTGGTTCTAGTTTTTGGTTTCTGATAATAAGCTTTGGCTGCAACTCATTGAGTACTTGGTAAATGGATTTTCATTTATCAGGAAAACAAAAAATTGAAGCATGTAAGTAACTCAGAAGAGTCTTGGGATCTAACCTTTTAGATTTATGGCAAGGTTTGCTTGAACATCAGCTTCAGAGTTATATTCCTTGAACATCAAGAAAAGCATGTTATTTGTAAACAGATTACCAAAAAAAAATAAAGGGAGTTGTCATCTAAAAACAAAAAGATAAAAACAGTGAGAACTGCATGTAAATCTTCATATAACTATTGGTGCTAGTGGTCTTAATTATACATATACAAACTATTATAAATGCATAGTTTAAGCAATATAGGTTGTTGCCAATCAAATTCAAGTTAAAACTGAACCAGCATTTTTATTTGTAGAAAATTGAGCTAGTAAAGCATTTGGATCACATATAGGTAGGCACATGAATTAAAAAGCCATGAGAAATAGTATGACATATAAATGACAGTCACATGTCAATATAATTGTATTTAATCTCCATCTTTTGTTTATCAAGAGTTGTCCAATTAGCATTACCTACAAAAAAGGGATGAGCGAATCAACTAAAAGCCTAACTTTTCTTCATCTTGTAAATAAATCTTAAAAATAGAGCAAATGACAAAGTGGGTACCCTAAGAACATGATTGATCTTGAATGACAGAAACCTTGCCTTCAGCTCCTTGGCCTCATTACATAAGTAAGCCATATTCTGGTTTTTTATTTTCCATAAACCCTGAATCTGTTGCAAAAGCAATCACATAAGATGGAAAAAAGAAGTATAAAAACTGAAAAGTAATTGTAAGTAGAAACTATACTGTTACTTTAAATTTCAAATTGCCATTTAATATTCAATATTTTAAACAATTAGAGTATGTTTTCCATTTATACCAGCCAGATGCAACTTAAGTAGTGAAACACAGACCAAGAGATGTAGAGCAGAATGGGTAAAAACTGAAACATATTAAGAATAATGCATACTCTGAAAAGATAACAAACCTGATTGCAGACAAGCAGGGAGTCTCCTTGGACACGAATGTGCTTATATCCTTTCTTAATGGCATGTCTCAATCCTAAAATTAAAGCTCGATATTCAGCAACATTATTTGTTTGATGGCCCACTCCTTCACGCAACCGATAGACCTATGAATAGACCTAAGAGTTAGCTACTTCCGAGAAGAATTAAAACAACAAAACAAGTTGTTGCATACAGTAGACACCTTGCTCCCATCTTCAGCACGCAGGACAGCTCCTGCCCCGGAAGGTCCAGGATTTCCTTTGGAAGCACCATCAAACTCAAGGATACATGAAAGCTGCAAATAGAGATGTAAGATTTTTTTGTTGTTCTTGTATTGTCTTATAGATAAAGCATGCAAAATATTCCAACTAGGAGGAGGGGCGGAAATATCAATCAAAAAAGACCATCAAGAATCATATGCATAAAATCTGTAACCAGAAATAAAGGGCCACGAATCTGAAGATCAAATGCATTGATTTCAAAGAAAAATTTCTGAAACATTTCATCCAATTTAAAGGCCCTCTGACCATGTGCATGTGCCGCTACCATATCTCAAAGTTTAAAGGTCTAATCTTTCAGTTAATAAAATGTCATGGAAAGGATAATTTTTTTTTTTTTCAAATATTTCGAACAACAAATGAGTCCCATTCCAACCAATCAGCTAAGAAAGATATTACACACCAAACTTTAGTCTCAATCAGGACATCTGTCATGATTGTTGCATTGGCTCAATGGCACCAAGAGCAATTTTATTATGGCTTACTTGTGCAGCCACCAGCATTCAGCTACAGTCATTGTTACTTGCACACATGCATGTATTAACGCTACAATAGGATGCTGGGATTTTTAGAGTTGCATCATGTTGAAGAGTCTCTTTAGTTTCTTGTGTTAGTTAGAATATTGAAGAGTCAGTTGTCTCTTGATTTTCTTATGTGAGTTATGAAGTTAAATTGTTATAATGTTTATTAGGGGTATAATGGCTGATGTTATGAGTAGTTAATTAGTGGTGTTATGAGGGTGTTATGAGACTCTTGATTAGCTTTGTAATGAGTCTCTTCATTGGTACTTTTAGTTTTTGTGTTGCCTATTAATAGGCTTGGTGTATTGAAGAAAAAAAAGCATTCCCTTTACAGTATCTTGTACATGCAGTTTTAGAGTCTTATCTTCTATCACATCAGTGATAAATTAACAAGGGCTCCAAATGTGTGTTTCACTCAAATCAATAGCATTTCTTTGGTAAAATATAGGTGCAAATTCCTGATTGGGAATATATCAATGTTGATAACTTACGCTATTATCAGACTGAATGGCTCTTTGCAAGCTCTTTGATGAGGAATTCCCGTCAAAAGCTCTTCTTTGAGAAGAACTTGGATGCTGAAAAAAATTAATCTCCTTTTGAAGTTAAACTTTTTTCAAATGGAACAAGCTTAAGCTTCAGAGTTACAAAATAGAAAAGCACGTTATCAGAAATAATACAAATTGGAAATGAACTACTATGCATTACAATCCACCCTAAAATGAGAGGCAAGAGTTGCAACATAAAGCTCAAGCTAACAATATGAAGCCTTTAGGCACAAGATGGAGCCTTTACCCCATGTATGATGAAAAGTTTCAGGAAATATTGGAGAATGACACAAATAAGAAAGAAAAGTGCCTCCAACCTGATAAGGGCAAGCATCTATTCTTCCAAAAAGCCCCTCATGCACATCAGCAGCACTGAGAGAATAAGAGGCTCCCTTAAGCCCATGTGAGTCAAGGTACTCCTGAGTTTTCTGAGGTAAAGAGAACCCTTTGTAAATATTCAGAGTCTCACCAGGTACCTGTTTGGAACATGTAAATACTCAACTTTTATTGTAACCAGAACAATGAAGCAGACATGGAGGTTTTCAGAAAGCAAAAGCCAACCCACAAGTTTAATGTATATTTAGTAGTAAATAAACTCCATTCAGAGGTTCAACATCACAAAACATATACATTCAAATGCAGAAAAGAGTTAAAGACAAAAACTTTGCATCATGGAAGAACATAACAAGGTTGGAAAAAGATATACAGAAGATGAAAGTAGAGGTTGGATGTCACTGAAAGACTTGTAGATGCCAACAACATCCCCTTTCGTTACAACGAAGAAAGCATCCTTCTGCTCAGCCATTGCAACACTGCAAGCACAAGGGCATGATCTTAGTCGAGAGAGACAACAAAAGTAACATGAAATAACTCAAAATTTTAAGTTCATGATTGCACGTTACACAGTGAACAAACCCAGTTCCAGAATCACTTTCCAAGTGATCAAAATGAGAAACCAGATTGAGTTTTGAAAAGCAAGAGTTTCCAACTTTGTGAAGAAGCGCGTGGACTGACAGTGAGAGAGTGTGAGAGGACAAGCCAGGAGTGTCACTATGTTGTTTAGGAGAGCTTTTTGTACCTACATCATTTCTAAAATAAGAAAAAAATCAGAACATAAAAGGAATTAGAAATAAAGCCATGAGATGAAAAAATTTCAAATTAACAAATCGTTGTTTAGGGAAAAAAAAAAATGAAACAGAAGAAATTGATTCAAATGGTACATGTATAATTCTGTTTAAGTAAGATTTTGGATTCAAATGTTTATGAATACAAAAGATTCTATTTGAAAGAATAGGCTCACCTTAATATGAATATTGACTCCCATAAAAGATAATATGATTTTAAAAAAATTTGGAACACCCAAATGCACAAGAAGGCCCACTTTGACTCGGACCTGGAAGCCCGTATAGAATAAGATCTTAAGGATTTTTTTACCCTTGAAAAAAACAAAATAAAATATATATATCACAAGTTTAATATTTTTGACAAATTATTTATTCATCTAATGAAAATGAAACACGCATAGAAAATATGTTCATTTAAGTCACATATCATTTCATGCTTGACTTGTGTAAAATCCAAAAAGTAACTGTCACATGTTGCGTTCTGCAAAATGTGCACAAGGGGTATTGGGTTGATTTTTGTACAAATCATGTACGAGGTGATATATGATTTAAATATGCACAACGTTTCACTCGTATTAATGGGTAAATATTTTGTCGAAATAATTAAACCTGTGATATATTTCGTTTTTTGCATTAAAGCAGTCAAAAAGCCAATAGACTATAAGCCTGTTTGGATTCTCTTATTTTTAAGCTAGAAATTACTTATAAGCTAAAGCTAAAAAAAGAGCTTAAAAAAAGAATGTAAAATGTGTTTGAAAATTACATGAAAATTTTAGCTTAAAATTTACTTAAAAGCACATATTTCAAGAAAATTATTTCTCTCTCTCTATCTTTATCACTCTTCGTTAAAAAAGAGAGCACACAATTCAAGAAAAACAGATAACAGCTTAAAAAAAAGCTCCTCCTAGGAGCTTTTAATTTTCAGCTTTTTTCTTCATTATAGAAAAAAGAGTTTTTCATTATAAGAGCTTTTTCCAAAACCTGTTTAGTGCCTGTTTGGATTCTCTTATTTTTAAGCTAGAAGCTACTTATAAGCATAAGCTAGGCCAAACAGGTTTTGGAAAAAGCTCTTATAACGAAAAGCTCTTTTTTTTATAACGAAGAAAAAGCTGAAAATTAAAAGCTCCAAGGAGGAGCTTTTTTTTAGCTCTTATCTGTTTTTCTTGAATTGTGTGCTTTTTTTTTAAATGAAGAGTGATAAAGATATAGAGAGAGATAATTTTCTTGAAATATGTGCTTTTAAGTAATTTTTAAGGTAAATTTTTTATGTAATTTCCAAACAGCTTTTAGCTTCTTTTTTTAAGCTCTTTTTTTTAGCTTTAGCTTATAAGTAGCTTCTAGCTTAAAAATAAGAGGATCCAAACAGGCTCTTAGCCTAGCTTATGCCTATAAGTAGCTTCTAGCTTAAAAAAGAGAGCATCCAAACAGGCACTATGATTAATTTCTTTTTTATTTTTTATAGTTTAACGAGGGAGAAGAAAAAACGAAGATAATTATTTATCTTTTTGAAAGATGCAACTCAAAGATTATCTTAATGATGGTTAAAAAAAATTATCATCATGGATATAATGTTGAATATGGTCTAAAATTATATATCTTTTACACTGTCATTCAATAAAGAAGTTAGACTTATATATATTTATTGACACACATTCATGCGTGTTTTTAACTGTTTATCGTTATTCTTACCAAATATATATGAAGAGTCATATACTTCAAATCTAATATGTTGGCTATTTAATTTAAAAATGCTGAAGCTTCTGTTACAAATCACATCAATGAATTCAATATGATTACAAATTCGATTGAGCTATATACTAAAGTTTACTTTGATGAACGAGTGCTGCTTTGATATGCCACAATTTTCTTTTATACTTTTTCCCTTACGGAGATTTTCTGGTCATTTTTTTCTTTTTCTTTTGAATAATGCTGTACATGAATCAGAATACAAGGGATACGGTAATGGATGTCATATTATATTATTATAACACAAAAAGCAATCGGATAGAAAATGTTACTCAATTAACAAGCTATTCTCCAACAAAGTAAATACAGTTTATGTTCCAACAATGTTTTCTTAGTCCTAAAGCTTTACACAAGTGAAAATCAACAAAAAGCCAACAAATCACTCTGATAAATTTGAAGTCTACAAAAAAATGGGATAGAGAAAAAAATTACAATTTTTATCTATGGATCCTCAGTGCTTATTATTCTTTATATTTTTATGACTAGACAATCAAATTTACTCTATATCTTGTTTCTTGCAATCTGATATAGCTCTTTCAAACAATTGTATCTTCCATGATCTTCAACAGAAATATGGACTCAGAACCAAGTATTGGTGTCAAAAACAAGTAAAAACAATTCCCATGCCTTGTTTCAGTTCACTTGCTCACCAATTAAGTCCAAACCCATAACGAGAAATGCCAATCCTTGGAAGAGCAAAAAATAGAAATGAACACCATGTGCTGATAGAAGACTTCTTGCAGATGCTGTGAGCAAAAGAAATGCAAGTGCTAGCTCCTTCCTATAGAGCTTGTTTCTCTTCTTCTTGGAAGGTACTTCTATTTGCTTAAGTTTGCCTAATAATTCCAAACCAGACTCTGAGTGCCTTCTGAGAATTTTATCTTCACTTGAAGACTTTGATTCTCTCTCAGCCAGGGCTAATAAATCTGACTCAGATGATCTCCCTGTCTTCTTTGTCACCACCCATTCATAAGCACTTCCTAGTTGAAACAGTCCAGAAACCATGGCATTGAACTTTGTAACAGACATGGTGTTCTCAAAGAGGAGATAAGGAACAAGAAAAGGGACAGATTTTGGGGATGGAAGAATGTTCAAGAAAGACATGAAAATGGGGACATAACATATCACCCAAAGGGGTAGTTCAGACTCAGGTATGAACATAGTCAAGGGTAGTATGATGCAGAACAAGGTGAATGAGTAAAATGGAAGTATAAGTTTCCTCAAAAGGAAGAACAACAATATCAGGTTAGCTTTCTTCCATGCTGACATCTGCATAAAAGTAAATAAGAATCCAGAAAATTACACACGTTTGCCAATAGAAAGATTCAATATAAGTTGAAAGAGAACTGAAAAATAATTAGACCTTGGAAGTTATTATAGAAGGAAGACATAGGCGGAAAAGCTGCATTGGACCAGAATGCCAGCGATGTTGTTGTTTCTTATAAGCTTCATAAGACTCTGGTAATTCACATAGAACTTTGACATCATTAAGGAAGATGAACTTCCAACCATTCAAGTGAGCTCGAACTGCTATGTCCATGTCCTCAACTGTGGTCCTCTCCAACCATCCCCCTGAATCCTCCAAAGCCTTTATCCTCCAAACACCTGCTGTTCCATTGAATCCAAAGAAATTCAGGAAATGACCATTAACTTGTTGTTCCACTTCAAAGTGAAAGCACAAGTTGATATTCTGGAGCCTTGTAAGCAAATTCTCATCCTTGTTCACAAAGGACCATCTAGCCTGAACCAAACCCAAGTCAGGTTTTCCCTGCAAAAGAAAAATCACAAAATCTTTAGACAGATTTGTTTAGGCAACACAAAGAAAACTTCTCCCTTGTTCTTATTTGGCTTACAGTACCTACCTTGAAATGGGGAACTGTTAGTTTGAGGTAATCAGGATTGGGCTGGAAATCTGCATCAAATATTGCTACAAATTCATAGTCTTTGACATAGTCACATGACATGGCTGACTTAAGATTTCCAGCTTTATACCCAGTTCTGATCAATCTGTGCCTGTACACAATGTTGACCCCTTTCTCTTTCCAAGAGGAAACCTCATCTTGGATGAGGAGCTGTAAATTGGCATCATCTGAATCATCTAGGACTTGAATTAGTATTCTGTCTTTTGGCCAATCAAGTTGACAAGCAGCACCAATGGATTGTGAATAAACCTTAATTTAAAAAATAAAAATTCAGCTTGAGATGTAAAATTGGAAAATCATGTCTAAATTAGCCTACCAATCATATGACTAATTATAATTTCCAAATTAGGATAGGACCAAGGAGGACTCATTAGTGTAAGAAATTGAAACCAATACATAGAAGCTTTTTACAAGAAGATCATCATATAATCATATATTAGCAGGATGGAAAGCATAGTTAGAGGAAATTACAGTATTGTTTATGTTACCTCTCTTTCATTGCACATGGGAATCTGAACAAGGACCATTGGGAAGCTTGAAGGATCTTCAATGTCATATGCATCTGCTTCAATGGTAGGCTTCAGCTTCTTATACTTGATCCAGAAGCACCCAAGGCAAAGAACAAGGCGATCCAGAGATTGAATCAAGAAGAGCACAATACAGAACTTTGAAACAAACAAGACTAAAGGAGCAACATAATCTTCTCTGAAAGAAAGCCAAGACACATAGGACGATTGAAGAAGACCCTGAACCTCCCATGATGGGATCATATGCAAATTCCATTTATTGAAATGAGCAATGATTTCTACAGCCAAACCACCAATTGAAAGAGCAAGAAAAACCTTGATGAACCTGTATAACCTTCCTCTATTCTTAGGACCCTCATCGCTTATATCAGACAATGAAATGCGTTTCTTGACCAAAGCAAAAGTGGATTTGAAACCTGTGGTCAAACCCGACAAGCAGGTCAGAACTCTGTGAAGTTTAAGGAGCAGAACCCACGTAAACTGTTTGGGACTCGCAGCTTTTTGCTTCTCGGGAAACATGGGAGAATCCGAATCATGAAATTGTAACAAGGTGAAGTCGTTAGTCTTCTCAGTTGTCACAGGAAATGAATTGGGTGCCATCACTTTCTCTCTCTTTATGGTTTTTTTTTTTTTTTCCTAGGAATTCAAGTTCACAGGAAAGAAAAAAAAGATTAAAATTTTGGGAAGAGGGTTTGATGGGTTCACCAATAGCAATCAATGGGAGCTAATTAGAGATTCTTCCTCAACATCATGAATGTATGAAGGAATGAGAAACATAAACTCAAAAGGGTCATTCCCATATGAGAGTTTTTCCTGTTTAGTGAGGCTTTCAAATCTGAATCAAAGCAACATCCCAGAATTTTCTGATGGAATTCTGAGATTAAGTTTAGCACTTTAGATTGAGAACAAGAAAAGAGAGAGAGAGAGAGAGAGAGAGAACTACTTTGACAGGCTTAAGCTAAGTATTAATAGTGGTTCATGGTATAAAAAAATGTGATTTTTTTAGATTTACCATAGAAAGGATTGAATTTTTTTTATATATATATAACTAAATTTGGATTCAATTATTACCAAATATATATTTGACAACTTGCAAAAAGTTATAATTTATAATTGAAATTAAGTTTTGATTCGGGATTAATTTTATAACTAAGTCAAAAAGTTAAAACTTAAATGTTTGGACCAACTTGCTTAAAAATAATAATTAGGATTAATATAAAAGTAATAATTTATGAGAGCTAATATCATTATAATATAAATATTTTATATTCGAATATCAAATATATATATATATATATATATATGATAAAATTATTTATGTAGCAGCTTTACGTAAGCAAAGACAAGTGTATGGTTATGATTCTTCAAATTTAATACTTTCATCTTTTGTATGGTTATGATTCCCCACATTTAATATTTTTAAATATATATGACATATATTTAATTGATGCAGAAATGTAAACCTATATATATATATATATGTGTGTAATTTTTAATTCAAGTGAAAACAATAATTAGCTGTGCAATCAGACCTCTTTATTCTTAGGATCTATCTCATTGGGTTAAGCTGGAAAAACAGCCTAGCATGTTGACCAATGGTTGCTAGACACATAAGCAACCTCACCATAAGGAGATACACTTGCACAACATAATAAACTTTTTTTCTTTCTGATGGGGACAAGTAGATACAGCTAAAGTGCAGATCAACCCGCATGGAAAATGCTTGTTGTCTGCTGGATGGAATGAGTGAAAGAATCACTGTGAGCGCGTAAATGAATCACCACAGAAGTTTCGTTCCTTTGTACTACTTTTTTTTATTCTCTATCTTCTTGTGTCATAACTAAGATGTTTCTGCATAATAATATTTTTGTATTTGGTTCTACACAAAGTGTTCTTTTCTTTTCTTTCTTTTTTTAATACATGCAGAAAGAGTATATTATTAACCTTTTTCAATGATATCGCCCTTGGCATTCAATGATTACACTCGGTGCATTGCATTTATGATTTATTTGATTAATTATTGGGCATTATCAAATTCATTATAAAAAAAGGAGAACTTCAAAAAAAATCCTACAAGTTTTCTCAAAATCACTTAATTCCTCTCCAAAATTTTTAATCATTTACTTTTCTACTTAAAATTTCTTTATCAGTTATCCCTCTACTTAAAATTTCTTTATCATTTACCCTTATAATTTGATTTTCAATCCAAAATTTTGTTTACAAAGTTAAATTTTTTAAAAGATACCAAAATTACCTTTAATAGAAAAGAGAAAACATAACTTCTTCACAAACGCAGTTTTAAACAAACTCACGTAAGCAAGACATGAATGTAAATCAACGATTGAATCCTCCTTCTACTCTCGATGACACAGAAAACAACGAAATAGCACCTTTGGCATGTTAACTTGGTAATATCATATGATTAAGGGAAAAACAAGGCATATATGAAGCACAGAACGTAAAGCTTTTCAGTTGCTGTGCAAGCAAAATAAAGTGCAGCTCTGAATAAATTTATAAAGTCGGATTTGTTGGTCATATAATAGCAGAAAAACTCATAACAGAAAAGAAAAGATCTAAACCTGCTGAGATGATGCCTCTTTAATCATTTTATTTGAACAACGACACCAACAATTGTGAGTAGGTGTTTAATGGCAATGGGATTTGCAGGAAACAATTTTAATAATTACTAATTCTAACAAGCTACCTTAAAAAAAATATTTTGTGAGTTCGTCTAAAACTGCATACGTGAGAAAATTATGTTTTTCTTTTTTCTATTAAGGGTAATTTTGATATTTTTAAAAAAAATTAACTCTGTTAACAAAATTTTGGATGGAAAATCAAATTAGGAGGTAAGTGATAAAGAAATTTCAAGTAGGGAGGTAAATGATTAAAATTTTTGAAGAAGGGGTTAAGTGATTTTGAGGAAACTTGTAGGGAGATTTTTAAAAAATTTCCTAAAAAAAATGTTAAATGCCATGATGGACATGGGGCTCTTTTTCTTTTGTCTAATATGATTTCCTTTCCTCTGTCAAACTAATACAACCAATAAAGACTACAATAAACGGGAACTAGTAAACTATTCAATCACCTAACCCTTAGAACTATATCTTTTTTTTTATCTCTTAGTTGGCTTATACTGGTAATTTTGCTCTGACCTTGCATTTCCAATAGCAGCATCTGTATTTTTAGCATCATCGGTACTATTTTGATCAACTTCGTTACAAATAATTTGAGCATGTGGTTTTTAACATAATGAGAGGACGTAATTGTAGGATGGTATAATTGTGAGATTCAATTAGGTTACTAAAAGATATCATATGATATTAAAATTATATATCTTAGAGGATCTTTTATGATTAGTTTTTTTTCATATTTAATGATGGAAAAAATATTTCTGCAGTTACTGCAGATAAGTTATTTGTATTATTCCCAAAATGACGTCGTTTTGGTATTGAAATCTTAAGAAATTATAAATATAATGACTATTATAACCCTGAAATAAATTAAAATTACAAAAACATCATAATTTTCGTCCCAAAACGACGTCGTATTGGACTTATTGTAGATAACTTATCTGCAGTAACGGCAGAAAAAGCGAACTCTTTAATGATATATTTATTTATTTTAAGATCTTTATTTAATAAAAAGAGAGATTAATTTTTTGTCTTTTTATTACATCATCATAAAATATTATTCAGTTTTTATTTTTTTATTTATACCTAAATTCATATAATTTAAACACGAATTGCATGCAATCTGTATCAAACAATACTACATTCTATAAGTATATAAAATCCAATATTTTTAAATAATATTATAAAATCAATGTTACCATGTATGTTCGTAGGGAAAAATATTTCTTTTACCACAAGAGATAAGTTATCTCTTATAGTCCAAAAGGATAAAATTTTTGAGGTTTCGAAAAAAAAAAAATTTAAAAATTTTATTTTTCTCTTAAGACATGAATTTTTCTAAAATAATATTTACTTTTTTTCCTTAAATTCCAAAATAATATTATTTTAAATTATCAACACTAAACTCATATAGGAATTACCGTGTATTATTTATTCATATATTTTATGTGCAATGCATCAATAATGATCTAAATTTTGTTGTAAACAAAAAATTAAAGTATATTTATATATACCACGATTTAAAATGCTGAAACCACTAAAAAGTCAAGCCAGTTCATCTCGTACTAACAATACATGATGACAAATTGAAAGGAAATTTGTGCCATTATTGATGCCGCGTTTAAGGGGTTGATGCATGGTCAAGTTTGCCAAGTGCACCTTGACAACATTGGGTTTGAATTTAACTCCTATTTTAATGAGAATTCACACTAAATTTGTATAAAGGACTAATCTAATGGGAATTAGTATTTTTTTTTGGGGCATCATTTTTTTTTTATGCATATTTTTCCCAAGTCATTGACTTTGTTTAGGCTTTTGAAGCAAATTTGGACAGTGGACAGCAGAGAGCCAAAGATGATGGATCTCATGAACAAATGAATAAACTTAGCATATTTCAGTGTTGTATTTTCAAACATATTTCTAATAAATAATGTGATAGGACCTTTTTTTTATATTCCACCTGCTTTTTTGTAATTATATAATGCATAATATAGACCCACAAGTTATCTTCTGACCATGGTTTGGTATATTAGGGTGTGTCGGTGGGATTAGGTTTTCACGCGACGAGGTGTTCAAAATCACTAAGATAATGTCATAATTTGGTGAGAAGGGTCAATAATTCAAGAAATCCAGAACAAATAATTTAACATATTTCTTGTGTAAATAAAAAAAAATAAAAAAATCATCTCTATTTTTCTTAAAAAGCAAAAGTTAAAAAGGAAGATTACGGAAGAGTGGGGCCATTCTTTTTCTATTGAGATACCTCTCTCTCGCTATATATAAAATGAAATTCAATATTTGAAATGTACGTCAAACGTGCATATATGCATCTTTTCTTTTAATAAAAGTGACTAAGTTACCCAAAATATAAGTACGAGTTTTACTATATTTATTTCAATATTTTAACCTATTGTATTTTTTAGTCTGAAATAAAAAAGTTACTCCTATTCCATAAGTAGCCCGTTTACTCATTGAAGTTTTTATTTATTTTTATAGTGAATGTTATACTTACTATTATTTCAAGAACTTGAGTCTTTTTTATTCGAACTAACATACATTAATGTTAATTTTATTTAGTCACAAGTCACTATTTAAATTAGTGAACAATGATAATTGTGGTAAGTGTTCCTTTTTATTTTCTACTTGTAAATAATATTACATATACTTAAAAAATCTATAGAAAAGCTAAGGGATTAACATCATCGCCTATTCCCCCCAATATCTCCGTCCCTATGTTATAACATTTTTAGTTATTTAATATGACCACTGGATAGCATAAGTTTATACAGCAGAATCTTTTAATATATTAAAATAATATATAACTTAATCAGGCCTAATGAGATGAGATTAGTCTTGATAAGGGATTAATGTCTTAACATCGTTAACTAGTACAATTTTCAAGAATTAATATATTATTTCAATATTAAAATATTAAAATAAAAATTAATTCTTCAATATATTAATTTTTAAAATATTGGAGATTTTTATTTTTATAAAAATTAATATATTTTTTAGACACACTCCTCAATAGATTTTTATAAAAATTAATATCATATGACATATTTGGAAAAAGGATTCGTTTTTTCTAAAGTTACTTTAGACAACTTTATCTAATGTTCGCTGAAACGACGTCGTTTTGGGGCGGAAATCATGGTGTATTTGTAATTTTAATTTATTTCAGGGTTATAATAGTCTTTATCATTCTAATTTTTTAAATTTTCAATCTCAAAACAACGTCGTTTCAGCGAACATTAGACAAAAC